TAAAGTCTAATCTCAAATCTGTACAAAAGGAAGCATGTCCCGCGTATGTTGGGACTCTGATCTAGCTTCTTATAATTATCATTGCCTGGTAATGGCGATAGCTGCCATTAAATGGTTCAGCCTTTTGTAGGCGGCAGTAGTTGCCTGGCTTCATCATACGGTTCCATATAAACCTACAAATTCTGGCAGACATTGACCGAGTCACATACAGTTTTGTTAAGTAATTGTTCCAAAATGAAAAACATCCCACGCGCTTCTTTAAGAAAGACAACAAATTTTCAATAGGGTTTAAGTCTGGCTTCTGGGCGGGGGTATCAATGAGTTTGCTGCAAGTGTAAAGCAGCCAAGTGCTGCACAGAAACGATTTCAGTTTGGGGTCGTTCCTGATAAAGCTTGTACCTCTGCTTATTGGGGTTTTGTGGGGAAACCAAAATTGATTGCACTGCTTGACAATTCAGTCCAAGCATAACTCTTTCGTCACCACATCCTTGAAAATGCGCAGCTCACCAACACCTTTCGACGTTATGCAGCCCCACACCATTACAGAACGCATGCCAAACTTTACTGTGGGTATTTTTCATTCTCCAATCTCTGCTTGGTCCGTCATGGTAGTATACCACTATTTTTTTCTCGTCGCAAAAAATAACGTTATCCCAGTACTCCGCGGACTTGTTGACACTGGCAATAGAAAAATTAAACCGCCACTGAATATTTACTACATACAGTAATGGCTTCTTTTTAGCTATCAGGTTTGTCAAAAATATCTGGGAATTCTTTGACTTTAACTTTAAGATGAAACAATTTTCTTGCGTATTTATTTATCGCGATTTTACTTATAGCTTTTAAAACTGTTAAAGGTCCCTAGTTCAGACAAAACAAATATCAAAATAATAGAAACATAAAAAGTTGATACAAGTGAACCCCATGAGTGCTTGTGATTATTTGTTGTGCCCGAAGAAAGTAAGACTGCTGAGAGTGACAGCTGAACCTCGAGAGCCGAACGGTCAGAGCCGAACGGTCAGAATGAGGTTGCGTCTCGCTCAGCGCACAACGTCGTTGCGGGTGATGCTTTCTCTTAATATATGCTAGTTTTAAATCCTTACAGCCCAAATACATACATAAGTATATATGCATGTGCAGAGTGCGCCTGGCTCTCACTCATTGATTTGAGCACTTGTGTGCATCTCATTATCCCTGCACTCAAAAATCTCCGAATTCTACAAACATACATATGTATGTTTGTGTTGAGCGGATGTGCGTGCAAGAACATAATGCCTTTGTCGCGAACCAGACATTTTTTCGTCCAGCCAGGCATTATGAGAACAATCCGATTTATTTTTATTTAACAAAAACTTAAATTACCTAAATTAGGGATTAATTTTACTTAAAATAAAAAATACTTCCAACTCGAATTTCTGCACGGGTAACTAATCGTCAATATTTTGAAAAAATCCTGAACAAGATCACATATGTACCCTGCTTCTTGTGCACACGCACACCCATACAAACATTTATTTCGGTTATATGAAATTAATGAGAGTACTGAGAGTATGTCTTCTCATTCGAGTGAGCAGTTTTGTGAAACTATTGAAGCGTTTAGCCCGTCCATGTGCAAAATTGCTATTTGTTGGTTAGAGTATGAATTCTTTTTAGGCCGGTGAAACACGCATATTTACACAGCATATATATGTAAGAAAGCCCCAGGGATGCAGAATCATTTACAGATAATCTGGTTCTTGTAGTGGTGAGCAAAGGGATAAATGAAGTAGAAGCAGTAGCGAATGCAGCCATAAGGAACATGGTCAGCTGGATGCGTCGGGCTAGCAGGCTTATAACAAGCTGCATTAGTATCGAGTCAAAGGCTTCCATCAAATATCTGGGGGTCATATTAGACAACAGGATTAGATTTCGACCTCACGTTGAATATATTAGCCAGAAAGCAGCCATAATGCAGACGTATACTACCCAACGGTTTTATTCCCACACCTGATGGACTGTTGCGGTTCATGTTGAAAGGAGACGACAACTGGAGAAATCCAGGGCAACGTAAAGAATTAGGGATCCACAGGGATCTGAGAAGATGCGAAAAGAAGCTACGTAGAATGGAGACTGCCTAAAATAGGCAACCCATCCAACCCTGTGAGAAGAGTGGTGCGTGAGTGGGGGGAATGAGTTTGGTTCGTGGGTTTTGACGGAGTCACACAGACACGCACACACAAATGTTGTGAATGAGCTGATCATGGGCGCAGATCATGGGCGTGAGGTGCGCTACTCTATTTTATGTTTTGAGCGAACCCGAACAAAACGAAGTCGCCAATGGACGAGAAATCAAAAATGCATGGCCACATGCGTTTGTATTAGCTGTCCTATATATATGTTCTATAGTTAGTGGTGATACGCACCAAGCGTCTGTTACAAACATTCCAGCTCCTTTCTATACAGAAATACATGCGCAGTTTACGCAGCGGAACTGTATTCAGATTTGGGATCAAAGCAATTATCGATGGTGCAGTGTATTCATTTTCGCACTTTGTATAAGTTAATTGCAATATATATTAAATGATGAAAACAATATAATTTTTATGGAAGCAAGACTTCCTTTATTTGATATTAATTTGCAACTAAATAAACTTAAATCAATTCTAGCCCTAGTATCTTGTGGCTTAGCGGAAGAAGAATTGCCCAACGTGCCCACAATATCAGCAGCGAAGCCGCTGCCAACGCCCCTGCCGCTAAGCAACAGGTTACTAGGGCTAGAATTGATTTAAGTTTATTTAGTTGCAAATTAACATCAAATAAAGAAAGTATTGCTTACATAAAAATTATATTTTTATCATTGTTTAATATACTTTGGAATTAACTGGCGCCCGAGCAGGGACCGGGTCGTTAGCCGGTTTTACGCGAAAATAAAACCAGTGCAACTCTCGTCAATTAAATTCAACGATTGGTGAAATTCTCCAAAGGCAATTGCAACTTAATTGTTTAATTTTGCCCATCGGTGGTCAACGCATCTCGTAAGGCGCACCCGCAGGATACTCTCAACGAAGACTGGTCGCAGGATCCCCAGTAGATACCCAAATCCGGACCGGCAGGGGACGTTGCCACATCAGGAATAGTACTGTAAGTTAGAAATTAAGTGAAAAACATACAAACGAACAAACACCTAACACAAAAGTCAAATATAATTATAAGAAAAAGAAATGCAAAATATTGTAGATCAATAAGCAAGATAAAGAAGTGTAAAACGATAAACAAATATAAAGACTACGAATGTAGTATACATTTATTCCAACTTGGCGACTCCCAAGGGACCCTCCAAAGTAGAAGGAAGAAACCAGCCACTGGTTTTAAAAAGAAAACAAAAACGACCAAAAATTCAATCAAAATATATAGTACAAAAATTAACACCGGATTTAAATAATTTTCGCGAATATCTTAAAATATACAATAAGAAATATATCTTGATTATAGCTAATGAAAGCAATTTAGTCAGGCCCCCAATAGTATCAGATCAACCTCAGGTTGACATAACTTGAACAGACAGCAACAACGACATATCGACAGACAAAAATAACACATTTACAAAATAGAGGCATGGCGAATACCGCAGAGCAGATGATAGCAGCCATGGTTAGCCAGATTTTGGCACAACAATTGCCGACATTAGTAAAGCAGTTAGTGACGTAGACGACCAAACAATAACTGCCAACGACAATTTAAACCATAATACTTTGGCATATTACATACAGTGAGAAACAAAATCACTGGCAATGTTGACACGGCCCTCGAATCGCATAATGTTCCCCTAAATTGGAGCGCTATCTCCAAATGTGTCTCACGCTGCAATATGCAGACAAAAGAGATCTGGGAACATTAGAATATCAGATGACAATGTTAGTGCAAGGTAACAACCAAACAGTAGAAGAATTCTACCAGGTCGTTTACAACCACTTGTCGCTGATACTAAATAAAGTAGGCTGCATGAAATTAAATAGGGAATCCGAAACCCTTATGACAAAAATATACCGAGATAAAGCATTAGATACCTTTATTAAAGGTTTGAAAGGAGATTTACTACGGATTCTTGGAAGAAAGGAGCTAGCAGATCTACCTTCACCCCTTCACTATTGTTTTAAACTTGAGAATCAAAGCTATCGCACTAACATGGCTTTGAATAGAAATCAACAGACACATGCCAGAAACCCAAATAGAAATATACCACCACCTACACTGCCACCCCGAACAGCTCAGACTTCTTTCGCCCAAACTTTTAGGCCACCACCCAGTTACAGGCCCTAACTCCCGATCCATTTACCTTGGCCAACTAATACAAGCCATGGACCACCGACTTACAACAATAATGGCCCGATTCCACAGTACCCCAACCAAAGAACCTACCAGACACAACCACAACAGGTATGCGTACTCAATAGACCTTCTGCACCAAAACCCCAACCACGTCCTGTACCAACGGACGGTGACCAAAGCATATTCACGAGGATGATAAATTACATGTACAGACCAAATTTTGAGGTAGAGAAAAGACCTCCACCACCAACAAACGCCACGGACAAAAAACAAAGAAATTTCAACATACAAACAGGAGAACAGACAGACAGAAAACACTGACAACTCTGTGACCATGGAGGAATACGTACAATCAATGCTAAATTACAAACAGCAGACTGAATACGAGCAGCCATTAAACGAAAGAAGCAGATGACGGACAAAATACCCAATACGAACACTCAGACATTAAATTTTAAGGATAAAGATCTCCTCTCTCCCTTATATAGAATGTAAGATGGGGAGCGGAAAGTTACTCAAAATATTAATAGATACAGGATCAAATCGAAATTACGTCCAACCCAAATTCGTGTGCGAACTTATCACAAATGAAAAACCCTTCGAAGCCGTCACAGTCGGCGGAAGCATTAAAATTACACACCACAAGTTCGCTTATCTTTTCAATAGAACCGATATAAAAATAAAATTCTTACCCAACTTAAAATCGTTCGACGCCATATTAGGTAACGATAGTCTAATGGAACTAGATGCTGTGATACAAAGCAGCAAGAATCTACAAATAATCAAGAACGATATTAGCATACCCATTAAGCAGATAAAATAGAGGCGGTCAACACGCTAATACCAAAGACAATATAAACACTAAGATGAGTAACGCCATACAACAAAATGCTACTATGCAGCTTGATTTTTTTAAAATTGAGAACGAAAACGAAATCTGTAGCACATTGCGCTCTCACAGCCGAGAGAACGAAAAAGCTAAAAATAGAATGTGCTCTCAGCTTCGGCTCTATGAGGGCCGTGCAAGCAATTATGTTTGTATGCGTGTGAATATACATACATAACAGCATATTTGAATATGTTGTTATCCACTGCTCTGGCAAAGTCTTTGGCTGGCAAAGAAACAATTTTCTTAGTTTTTTTAGCGCAGATCACGACTTACCCAAAATTTCTGTTGATATATGAATGCATTTTGTGTACTGAGGTTGGCTCCGCAGAAAATATGTATTTTTAAGTCGATGCACACATTTATGTAATTTTATATATTTGAAATTATTGATTAAATTATTATTTGTTTTAAGTAATACAAAATAAATTAAGGAAATAAAAGTGCAAATTTGTTGTTTTTAAAGAAACATTTAATTCATTTTTATTTTATATTTTATTTTATTATTTTTGATGTTCGAATTATAAAGAACAAAGTACGCAGGGAACACCGCGAGGAGGCCATTATAATTATAATGGGATCATAACTAAATATGACCTTCGGGTCGACTTGAAATGTAATTGTATTTTTTAGTTTAATTTTGATTTAATTTAAAGAAATTATGTAAATAAATGCATCGACTTAGAAATACATATTTTCTGCGGAGCTAACCTCAGTACACAAAATGCATTCATATATCAACACAAATTTGGGATAGGTCATGATCTGCGCTAGAAAACTAACAAAATTAATTTCTTGCCAGCTAAAGCCAGAGCAGTTAATAACAACACATACATGCATACTTTATAGTTCTTATGCATGTATAATTCACGAATACAACGAAAGGTGCACGCAAGCTATTGGCTGAGACAAGAACTTTTCTCGAGCATACACTGTCCAAAAAGAAAAGTGAAATCAATCTATGCGTGCTATTTTCTTAAGAAAGTTATTGCGTAAGAAGCGCCTTGGGTAAAAATTATATAAGTTCTTAAATGTTCCTGTAAAATTAATCGTTAATATCTATGGTAATATATCATTTAAATAAAGCATGCATTTCATGGATAAAGCACAAGCACTTTGCGTCGATCGTAAGTTCTAAACTTTTTCGCTCAATGTACTTCGAAAACGAAGCGACAAAGCATCGACTAGCTTTGCTGTAGGCAGGCTGGCGACTAACTTCGTAGCTCGTGTCAGCATCAGCAAGCCGCGACTTCGGCATTCGTTCGTCTGGTCTTTGGAGAACAAACTACCAGTCGGCAGGCATGCCGTACGAAGCCTCAAAGGCCAGATGAAAGGCCAGGCCAGAAATTTTGCGTCGCATTCAAATGTATGGACGTTACTCATCTTTGTGTTTATATTGTCATTGGTAATACCACGGACAGAACATATGACAAACGAACAAAAAAATAGCCTCAATCAACTAGTTAAAATGCACCCACGCCTATTCGCCAATCCAGACGAAAAACTGATATACACAACCAATGTCAGAGCAGAAATTTAAACAAAAACCGACTGCCCCATATATTCAAAATTTTACCAATTTCCAATGTCTTTAAAAGACGAGACACAACCAATCCCGATCGCCATACAATTCACCTGTGTGGATTGTTCCGAAAAAATTAGATGCCCCCGGGCAAAAGAAATATCGGATGGTTATAGACTACAGGAAACTGAATAAAGAAACTACCGCAGACAAATACCCGAAATTAAATACCCCTTAAAAAGTCAGACATAGAAAAAACTGCCTTCTTTAACAACGGAAAATACGAGTTTGCACGACTCCCATTCGGTCTCAAGAATGCACCCTCAATTTTCCAGAGAGTTCTTGACGATATCCTTCGTAAGCATATTGGAAAAATATGCTTCATTTATATTGACGATATCATTATCTTTAGCAAAGATGATGAAACGCATGCGCAGCACCTTGCCGCCATATTCAGAACTCTACAACATGAAATGTCAGTTGGACAAATGCGAGTTTAAAAGCTGTGTAGAATTCCTGAGATTTGTCAGCTCAGACAAGGGGATAAAAATAATCCAAACAAAATTGAGACAATAAGGAAGTACCCACTTCCAAAAACACTCAATGATTTAAGAGGAGGTTTATGAAACACTTCGCTAAGTTGGCAAAGCCCCTTACCTCTCTTTTAAGAGGGGAAGATGGACGTGTGTCCAAAAACCAATCAGCTAAAAATCTCATTAGTCTCAACGAAGAAGCGATCGAAGCAGTCAATAAAATAAAAAACTCCCTAGTTTCGAATGAGATAATACTTCATTACCCGGACTTTAGCAAAGAATTTCATCTGACAACAGGGGCTGTCCTATCCCAGAACAAGCGACCCATTATTTTTCTCTCTAGAACTCTCTCTAAAACAGAGGAGAACTTCGCCACCAACGAAAAGGAAATGTTGGCAATAATTTGGACCCTAAAAGCCTTCAAGAATTACTTCTACGGCAAAGCAAGTGTAAAAATATACACCGACCATCAACTCTTGACCCACTCTTTTAGCAGTTGGATGGGCAACGCTAGGATAAAGAGGTGGAAAGCTTACCTAGAAGAGTTCGACTACGAACTCCTCTATAAGCCAGGTAGGGATAATATTGTAGCCGACGCGCTATCACGTATCCCTGTGATCAATAATATTGGATCAGTAGCCTCCACCCAGCACAGTGCAGACAGTTCAAGCCACAACTTAATTCCGAGCATAGAAGCTCCAATTAACGTATTCAAAAACCAGATATTTCTCAGTAGAGCCATCGAAACAAATTACGAATTCCATATCCCATTCCCAACATTTCACAGCCCTACGATTACTTGACCAAATTTCTCAACACGACCTTACGCAAATAAGAAAGATTCTAATTCCCAAAAATTAAGCAACGAATAAAAAAATTAGTAAAACAGTGTCAGGTTTGTAAAGAACACGTAAGAGGTTCTAGTCGGGAGCTCACGACTAGGGAATACCCTGAACCTTCTTATTCCAACAACATGCTGTCGATTCTACTCAACAGCCACACCAGCAAAAAAAAAAATACTTTCCTCGGTAGAGTTCGAACTCGCGACAGACCGCACCACTTGCTATGTCTCTACTCAGCAGCCATACCAATAATCAAGTACTTATGATACAAAAAAGGAACTAAAATAATAATTTACCATGCTGTTAGAATGCGAAGCAGACGCGCATGAATGTGTGTGTAGATGTATACAGAAATAGTTAAAGCTGCTGCCCCATTTTTTTTTCTTAACCGACCCGTATGAAATTTTCTACAGTATATCTTATTATACCATAGAATATTTGTGTATTCTGAAAACGTCAATTGCATTTAAATTGTGGCTTCAATTGGTTGGCAATACAAATTGAGTTATTATTATTGATTTATAGCTCTAGGGTGGTAGCGTGTAGGTGAAAGTGAAAGGTACTTGACATATATATTATATTATAGAAGCAACATATCATGTTTGGCGACTCTAGCTCTTATTATTTACCCAATTTGCTCAAAAAACAGGATGTTGATATCGATTTTTTTCGATTACTTGGAAACGGAGTAAGTTATCGATTATCAGAAACAAACTCGATCTGCGCAGGCACTAGGAGCACCTACATCTAAAATCTCTAGCTCTTATAGGTTCTGAGATCCTTGCGTTCATACATCCGGTCGGATGGACGGACAGACCGACGGATATGGCTAGATCGACTTTGCTATTGATGCTGATCAAGAATATATATACTTTATGGGGTCGGAGTTCCATCCTGTTACATACATTTGCATTTCGCACAAATACAATATACGCTTTTTACCCATTTTCAATGGGTTCAGGGTATAAAAATACGTTAGGCATAATTCCCGAATACCCAGGACATACAGTCCATATCGGCATATATATGACAGAAAAAATGTAGTACTAACGGCATTAGAAAAATTTTCGAAATTAGCTCAGGGGCAATAGAAGACATTAAAAAAACACTTTATGAAATCCTTTTTTATTTTGGCGTACCTAAAGCAGTTGTAATAGATAACGAAAAATGAATTCAGCCTCAATCACTTTTATGATGCAGGATCAATTAAATATAGAAGTTTTTAAAAAACCACCCTACGAAAGCGCAGTAAATGGTCAGGTAGAATGATTTTATTGAACACAATCGGATATTATGAGATGCAAGAAAAGAAAACAGGAATACGGAACATTCGAAGAACTACTTAACAAATCAATAAACGACTACAACTGCACAATACACTCGACAACTAACAAGTGACCATTAAACATATTCTTCGGCAGAAACGTGACAACAGACCCTGACCAATACGAAAAAGCTAGGAAGAACATTGACAGACTCGAACAGAAACAATCGACTGACATGCAGAATCATAACAAAAAACGTAACGACATACGAACTTATACGGCAGGTCAAGCAATATTCGTCAAAGTCAACACCAGATTAGATACCAAACTGTCACCCAGATACAAAAAGGAAATAGTTAAAGAAACTAGAAACACAACCGTACTAGCAAAAACTAATACAAATAATACATAAAATCAATATAAACAAGAGGTTCTAGTCGGGAGCTGCCGACTTGGGGAAACCCTGAACCCTCTTCATCCAACATCAAATGCATATATATTCTATTTTAGAAGCTATATGTCAAGTTTGGTGACTCTAGCTTTTATTATTTATGTGATGAGATAGAATTTGCAGATGTTTTTGTTTTGTTTTCTGTTTTTTATTGTAAAAATTTCAAATTTAGAAGAAATAGAATTTAAAAATGCTATAATAAGGCCACTATTAAAAAACAGCAATATAATAATTTAGAATTTAACGAACTGTTTCATTGTAATAAAACAATCAATGGCATAATTAACAATTGTAAAAGATACCATAACATTAAAGTTTTTAACAAATCAAAAATTGTAAACTAGAACACTGATAATTGTATACCTAAGTTAGTTAGTGGAGAGCAAGCGCTTTGCAGCTTTGGCAATGCAGATCATATCCCAGAGATCGTGGAAATCGACGATGGACTTATACTAGTGAACGACTTCAACGGCACTATTAGATGGCAATAAGAGGAGAAATGCGTGCGAGGCACCTACATGATTAACTTCTGGAACGAAGCCTTATTCATCAACAAACAAGAGTTCAGCAACTTAGCGGTCACAGTCATGACCCCAGGAAATCCCACAATACAAATAACCCCAATAGAAAACAAAAGTATTAAGATTCTTCTTCTGGAATCATTAGAAGAATTGCACATCAGCAATATAAACAAGAGGTTCTAGTCGGGAGCTTCCGACTAGGGGATATCCTGAACTCCCTACTTCCAACATCAAATGCATATATATCTTCTATTTTAGAAGCTATATGTCAAGTTTGGTGAGTCTAGCTCTTATTATTTAACAAAATTGCCCTAAAAACAGGATATCGATATCCATTTTTATCGATTGCTTGAAAACGGAGTAAGTTATTAAACTTGATCTGCGCTGGCACTAGGAGCCTACATCGAAGATTTCAAGTGTCTAGCTCTTTTAGGTTCAGAGATCCTTGCGTTCATACATACGGACGGACGGGCGGACATGGCTAGATCGACTCGGCTATTGGTGCTGATCAAGAATATATACTTTATGGGGTCGGAGATGCTTCCTTCTGCCTGTAACATACATTTGGATTTTGCACTAATACAATATACCCTTATACCCATTTTTAATGGGTTCAGGGTGTAAAATCATGCTGCAGAATATCACATTGTTTTATGACGTTACTCATCTTATTGTTTATATTGTCATTGATCAAAATGTGTGTTGTTAGTCAAAATACAGTTTGTCTTGTAATTCGTTGCCAAATAAAAAACATCACACAAATTCATTTTTACTTTACCGACTTAAACTATTTTCCCTTAACTTTTTTTTGCAAAATTATTATTCTTAGTATTTTTCATAAATACAAGGCACAAAATAAAATTCAAAACAAAAAGTACCACTACCACTAGGGGAAATTTGCTAAGGAATTTTACAATATTATAAACTGCGCTGAAAAAGAAAAAGAGTTTGGAATAGCAGCAGAAAAGCAGACCAACGGAGACTCACTAGATGCGATAGTTCAATGATGCGCATTTTCTTAAGAATGAATTGTCAAGGAGCCCAATAAAGTTTGGTTTTGTAGGTTCCCCAAAACCCCAATAAACAGTGGTACAACCTCAAACACATATCGTTTCTGCGTACAATTTGACAAAGTTACTAACACCCACGCCCAGAGTCCATACATAAACCCTCTTGGAAATTTGTGGGCATTCTTAAAGAAGCGAGTGGGGAAACGGAGCGCAACTAACAAAAATACTTTGATCAAGGCCATTCAAGGAGAATAGATACATATTCCCGAAATGTATGACCTGGATAACCTTATTCAGTCAATGTCTCGTCGTCTGCGGGCTTTAATGGACGTTTATGGCCAAAATACCAAATGTTGGTACTACTAATTGCAATAGTTTCCTAGTCATACATACATATATACAATAATAGTTGGATAATTGACAGAGCAATATTTGCCGAATTTTTGTTTTGCATGTGTATTTTACTCTTGGTTTTTGAATTTTCGAATTTTTGTGCCTCATATGAAGAATTCTTAGAATAATAAGATGCAAAAATAAAATTAAGAAAAATTAGGAAAAGTGGGCAGTCTAAGATTAAAAATGAAATGTGTGATGTTTTTCATATTGCAAACAGTTACTTGACAAACTGTATACATACATATTCATGTACATATGTACCGACCAATGAATACAATTTATGTACATTCCTACATACATATATACATGTGGACATGATACACAATTCATTTATCTACTTACATTACACCAACTGTAAGCGGAATTGTTTGCTTCATAAATGTCGAAGTCAATTACATCTTGAAGGTCAGGCAATTGACCTTTTTTTTTATAATGCTTAAAAGATTGTTTAAACATTTTACAAAATATTTGAAGAACTAAGATCTTCAGCCGTGTAGCTGGTTGTTTTTAAGGATGTGCGTCAAATTAGCGGCGGTGACTTAGCGTCGAATTTTGGTACTTGTTATCGGAAAAGTATCGGTCACTTTCAAATGCATTTATTTGTTTTTAAGCACGAAACCAAATAAATTGAAATGCCAAAATGCAAAAAATTTAATTATTTACTATCTACATTCATTTATTTTTGAATTTGAATTTATACCAATCTTGAAAAAATTATAAGAATCGATCAGCACGTTTTTAAGATATTTGTACTACAGTGCAGCAACCTCGTTGCTAGCCCCATACAAAATGACCGTAAAATATCACCTTTGCACTTAAACCTTAATATCTTTTCCCAGGGATAATGACCCTCAATGCACGGTATACCAACTTGAAGATACATGCTTAAGGAAGCTTTACGCATTAATTCTAAACAAATCGATCAGCCAGTTTTTTAGAAAAATAACAATATGTAAACACACCTCATGTTGTTCATTCAAAAGGCCTATCGAGCTACTAGCTCCAACGGGAACCGAACCACTGCTCGGAATCAGCGTTGAACAATGTGATACATTATTGAGCGGGAACAAATTAATTCAAAATACTTGTATATGGAAAAGAAATGCAGTAATATATAAAATAATTGTCATATTACAATAAAACATCATCTTTGGTAAAATAGACTGCTGCAAAAGACGACAACTATGCATTTAAGTATTTATAGACGAATAGGTGGAAATATTTCAACCTTTATTATTCTATTTCTCCGATAATGGCCCCAAATGCACGGTAGTTTTACATGTAGATCGCGAATTATCAATCATTTTGTTTTTTACATCAAAAAAATCGTCCAGCCAGTTTTTGAGAAATTCGCATTTTTCTATTTTTCTTATTATATTTTCTTATTATATTATGCAAAAAAACTAGCTGGCAACATTACACACATTACATACAAAATGGACGCGCAGCTTCAGCAACTTACGGCAGAGGTAGCAAAGCTAACCGCAACACATGCGCCGCAGAATTTGATTAATAAATATGTAAAGTATGTAAATGTTGCCAGCTAGTTTATTTTTGCATAACAGGGGGTATAATAAGAAAAATAGAAAAATGCGAATTTCTCAAAAACTGGCTGGACGATTTTCTTGATTTAAAAAGCAAAATTATTGATAATTTCCGATATTAATTTGTTCCCGCTCAATACTGTATCACATTGTTCAACACTGATTTCGAGCAGTGGCTCGGTTCCCGTTGGAGCTAGTAGCTCGATAGGCCTTTTGAATGAACAACATGAGGTGTGTTTACATTTTGTTATTTTTCTAAAAAACTGGCTGATCGATTTGTTTAGAATTAATGCGTAAAGCTTCCAAACATGAATGATTTTTTGCAATGATTTTTTGCAATTTTGCTTAGTCACCGCCGCTAGTTTCACCACTAACCAAACAACATATAGACTGGACATCCCATACAAACAGCGTTGTCACAAAAAGTATCGGAGGCATCTGGTCCAAAATCGCGAGTAAGGGAGTAAGATATACATATGATGTATTTTTGAACCGCTTACTCTACAGGAAAGTGCTTGGCGCAATCTCTTCCATATGATTTGTGCGATAGAACGGCAACGCTGTTAACTTTTATCTCGCTCGCACTTACTCTCAGCTCTCAATGCTCTCTCTATGTTTAGGGATCGTTTCAATGTGTGTGCGTGTGTATTTGTCCGACAAGCAAAACTGCGCACAAATTCAATTTTTTCCCAAATGCTGAGGCATTTCTACCCTTTTGAAGGCACGAGTAATATGAAATAGGGAAAGGGTTTGCCACGTCGATGCGAAATTCTTGCATTTTAGCTCGCTATCGTTGGTAAGGGTACCCAAGCGTTGCGCTTGTGTGCTTGTTGCTTGCCTGCCTGCCTGTCCCCGATGCAAATTTAACAAGATTTTAGGATTTCTGATTTTGAACCTTTACACATAGACACACACATACAAATGTCTGTGAATGGGTTGATCATGGGCGCAAAAGAAAAATCATTATTAGCACGCGTCTGACGCACGCCCTTCTTTTTAATGATTTTGTTGAATGAAATTTGAGTCAAAATAAAAATCTTTAAAATATTAAAATATACCAAATTAAAGAAAAGGAGCGATTATATTTTTATAGTTTTAATAATTTTGGTGATCAGTCAATTGACCTCCATATGCAGGTGCTTGCCAAAAGTTGACCCATTCGGCCCAACGGGCTGCTGCAGGTAATAATGGGTCAACATTCATTCATGTGTGTGTATTTGTCCGACGAGCAAAACTGCGCACAAATTCAATTTTTCTCAAATGCTAAGGGTAGAAATACCCTTTTGAAGGCACGGCTTATATGAAATAGAGAAAGGGTTTGCCACGTCGATGCGAAATTCTTGCATTTAAGCTCGCTATCGTTGGTAAGGGTACCCAAGCGTTGCCATGTGTGCATTTAGAATATTTTGGACTCGCTATTCACGCATACTTGCATATTTTGTGTATGATTAGAAGCATTTATGCACTTGTGTGCCTGTTGCTTGCCAGCCTGCCTGTCCCCGATGCAAATTTAACAAGATTTTAGGATTTCTGATTTTGGACCTCTACACACAGACACACACATACAAATGTCTGTGAATGGGCTGATCATGGGCGCAAAAGAAAAATCATTATTAGCACGCGTCTGACGCACGCCCTTCTTTTTAATGATTTTGAATGAAATTTGAGTAAAAATAAAAATCTTTTAAATATTAAAATATACCAAATTAAAAAAAAGGAGCGATTATATATTTATAGTTTTAATAATTTTGGTGATCAGTCACTTGACCTCCATATGCAGCTGCTTGCCAAAAGTTGACCCATTCGACCCAACGATCTGCTGCAGGTAATAAGGGGTCAACATTCATTTATCAAAATCTCAAAAAATAAGGGCGCGCGTCAGACGCGTGCCAATAATGTATTTTCTTTTGCGCCCATGATCAGCCCATTCACAGACATTTGTATGTGTGTGTCTGTGTGTAGAGGTCCAAAATCAGAAATCCTAAGATCATGTTAAATTTGCAATGGGGACAGGCAGGCAGGCAAGCAACAGGCACACAAGCGCATAAATGCTTATATGCATATACAAAATATGCAAGTATGCGTGAATAGCGAGTCCAAAATATTTTAAATGCACACATGGCAACGCTTGGGTACCCTTACCAACGATAGCGAACTAAAATGACAGAATTTCGTATCGACGTGGCAAACCCTTTCTCTATTTCATATTAGCCGTGCCTTCAAAAGGGTAGAAATGCCTCAGCATTTGGGAAAAATTGAATTTGTGCGCAGTTTTGCTGGTCGGACAAATACACACACACACACACACATTGAAACGATCCGTAAACATAGAGAGAGCATTGAGAGCTGAGAGTAAGTGCGAGCGAGATAAAAGTTAACAGCGTTGCCGTTCCATCGCAAAAATCATATGGAAGAGAGTGCGCCAAGCACTTTCCTGTAGAGTAAGCGGTTCAAAAATACATCATATGTATATCTTACTCCCTTACTCGCGAGTTTGGACCAGATGCCACCGATACATTTTGTGTCTACTTCTGGTACTCATGTCTAGTCTATATGTTGTTTGGTTAGTGGTTTGACGCACATTTATTTGCAGTGGAATCAGTGAAGCCAATTATCGATTTGTTGTATTGCCTGATATCACTAACCAAACAACATATAGACTGGATAAGATAATTTTAAATGCACACATGGCAACGCTTGGGTACCCTTACCAACGGTAGCGAGCTTAAATGCAAGAATTTCGCATCGACGTGGCAAACCCTTTCTCTTTTTCATAATACTCGTGCCTTCAAAAGGGTAGAAATGCCTCAGCATGTGGGAAAAATTGAATTTTTGCGCACTTTTGCTTGTCGGACACATACACATACACACATTTAATCGATCCCTTAACATAAAGAGAGAGCATTGAGAGCTGAGAGTAAGTGCGATCGAGAGAAAAATGATCATCGTTGCCGTTATATCGCACAAATCATATGGAAGAGAGTGCACCAAGCATTTTCTATAGAGTAAGCGGTTCAAAAATACATCATATGTATATCTTACTCCCTTACTCGCGATTTTGGACCAGATGCCTCCGATACTTTTGTGACAACGTTGTTGTTTGGTTAGTGCTGATATCCTGATACATTTTCCTATAGCCTCTGTTCACTGGTTTAAGAAATGTCGCATTGTCAAATTTCACATATTGTTGTTCCACCGGTTGTCGGTAACATGTAAGTGGCAAAAGTACCGCTTCTTTAAAAAAAACAGCTGATCGAGTTGCTTAAATTAACATAGGCGCCGCAAAGTTTTTCATCCAAATCTCAAAAATTGCGCTCTCGAAGTAAGGGCTCAATTTTAGGTTCTCTTTTCTAGATTCCGCCATGTTCAAATTCAAAAGATGGTGGGATTATTTTAATTTTTCATTGCTTATTTAAAGTTGCCACTTGCCATTGATGATATATCAGCTGTTTATGTTTACGATACTTTACTATTCTTCACAACATCGATAGAGAAATCTCGATTAATCATCGCAAAAAACACGAAATGTTCAGGGCGAACTTAAACATTTTTCAAAACTGTGTCTTTAAAGATTTGTGAAATGTGTTTTCTTATGGGGAAACGCAGATGGCGCGTTTCAAATGTTTTGAAAAATTGTGACATTTTCAAAAATGTGTTTATTGGACAGAGGCTATAAGCTGATCAAGGGTTTGTCGTGATACAGAGATATTTTCATCATAGGAGCGTAAATTTGGGCGACTGACTCGGACTTTGTTTTTTGGCATGCCTTCGGTGGGCTTGCGGCTGCAACAGGTACAAATGTGTGAACAGTCAATGAAAACAGGTGGATCTCACTTGTGGCTCGTTTGCACTTTGATATGGATGCAGACGCATGCAAGACATTCTGATCGTTCATTG